CAGGAGCTAGGAGGATCTTGGAGCAGTTATTCTCGATGAGTGGCTTTCTCTGGTTTGACAAACAGTCCGTGAGAAGGCTTGCAGCGAAAGTACGATGTCCCTTCACCGACCCATCGTTCTTCCATCTGCAGAGGAGGAAGAGTGAAGAGAGTGAAAGAGTTGAAGGGTTGTTAATGAGGCAGTTAAATGTTAAGAATGAGCCAGGGGTTAAAGAGTGTGCACTGCAGTGTTTTAAACGGTTTGGATGCCATGGGTATCTCCTTAAATAAGCCGAATTTCATGTATATATAGAGTATTAGCGCCTAGTATTATAACCCCATATAAATTCTTATGCACTTATGGAGGCTCTGGACACGTTTTTCGCATGTAGCTATTTAGAATCACGTACAACATTAGGTACGTGTATTGTCTGTCACATAATATATATAAAAATCCTTGCATTCAGACAACTAGATAGGCTTGCTTCGTGCATCAATAATATGTACTTACTAGGTTTAAGTAGTTCAATCCTAAGCCACACCCCCTTAGCAAACTGAGTGGTTCGTGAAACCGCACCCAAAATCAGCTCCAGTCACAAAGATGCTCATGCCGGTCTCCAGAGTGACGTGTGGGAGGGAGGAGAGGGAGAGGGTGGAGGAGGACGAGGGAGGGAGGGGATGAGTGAGGAAGAAGAGGGAGGGTTGGTGAGGGAGACTGTGCGAGGCTGCTTGGCTCGAGGTCCAGTTCTGAATGCATGCAAATGAAAAATGTATGCAAGGGAAGAAAGAGAAAAGTTATAGTTTGAGCAATACATTGTATACTCCAGAATAAGGGGTTGGTAGAACAGTATGTTTTTACTGGTGGGCTTTTCATAAGTTCAACAGCCAATTGGGTTTTATGTGCTTGTTATAAAGTAGCTGTGTGAGCTTCAGTGGATATCGACTTCCAGTTTTGACCATGAAAGCAGGTGTGTATATACTGACTTTGTGGTGTTGGAGGTGTTGAGTCTTCGTTTGTTGACGGGAGGCGAAGGATGAGGGGAGGGGGAGGAGGAGGAGGAGTGGGCTGGGAAGTCAGTGGAATCAGTAGTTAGGCCACTATTGGTAGAGGAGCCACTGGAGGTTGCTGCTACTGCTGGAGGAGAGTGTCTGGAGAGAGAGTGTCTGTGTGGGTTAAACGGGCTACGACGCAGTCTCTGCACAATTTTTACTGAATGTACGTATCTTCTCAGTTGACAGAATTTGTACAGAAAATAGTCTTGTACAGAATATATACTTGATTTTGTAACCAAGCATAACCCACTCACCTTTCTGAACATCAGCTCAGTGGACATTGTCCGCAAGATGCAAACACATTTTTGATACGCAACGACTCAAGATCAATCTATTACTAATGCAGAGGCGCGTTTTTTTTTGCAACCCTACTGCGTCGCCATCATGCGGCTATATATTAGAAGTGGAAAAATCATTTCTTCAAAATGTAGGGGGATATAGGGATGGCTTGAAGCACAAGGGGTCATTACACAGCAAAGTTGCACAAAGCTACATGACACCATCCCTATATCTTTGTTCGAACAATAACAGAGATATAGGGATGGTGTCATGTAGCTTTGTGCATCTTTGCTGTGTATATAATGACCCCTTGTTTCTTCCTTTTTGGTGCTTCAAGCCATCCCTATATCCCCCTTTATTTTGAAGAAATGATTTTTCCACTTGTTTCCACTATTTTTAACAGCTTATGACAACACTGCATATTATTGTTACAGTCACTCTGATGGTCATGGGTATGTTGTAGATAGGTTACCAAGGACAAACTCTAATTGTTGAAAGCTGTATATAGCTAATGGGCTGCTAATGCCTGAAGCAGGAACTAGATACCATAGGTATTGTCTTCAACAAGGATGTATTTAGGTTATGGCACATGGTTGCGGTTTCATGGGCAGGCTTTGTTAATCAGGGCTACAACCTAAGGTGGACAAATGAAGGCCCCTTTTTTGCACCTGGCAATGCTCGCGTAACACCGCGCTGACTCTGCCAAGTTGCTCCTCGTGTAAATCAAACAGCAAAACGCAAGCTAACCAATTGGAAATGTGCACACTGACTTACAGCAGGCACTGGAGGCTAAGATGTTCCTCTGCAGGTCTGTCAACTCGCCTGGTAACAATACGCACGTACAGCGCATTCGACAACGTCTCTTGCAGGACTGAAGAAGAAGAAGAAGAAGATGAAGATGATGATGATGATGACACGAAAACCGTGAAAACGCTTATGAGCGAATTCTCGCGTGGACAACTGAAGGTGCGTATGAGGTCTTGGGGGACATGTATAGGTAGATATGGGCCCGTAGACTATTGCTAGTATGTTTTGAAGGCCTAGGGAGTGATTCTTACTGACGTTTTGTATGCGGATCACGTGAGATTTCACCCGTCATCCCTATATTAGAGAGTCTACCGACCGACTCTCTAATACGCAACTGTACTGAACATAGGGCTGCGCCTTTAGCCTCCAAGGTACGCAGAGCTGGCCGAGGTAAGCCAGTGCTCATTTGCATATTAGCTCCTTGACTTGCTTTTCACGCCATAACTTTCGAACGCAGCATTTTTACCAAAATCGCTATTTTTTTAATAAAGCCAGTGTGGCACTGAGCCAGTTGGTATCGGTTTTTGCCCGTCTTGTTGCGCGTAGCGGAAGAAAACGTGGTAACAGACAGACAGACGGACAGACAGACGGACGGACGGACGGACGGACGGACGGACGGACGGAATGACAAACCAAGTACTATAACCCTCTAGCGCATGCGCGCCGAGGGTTAACAAGCCAACCATGCCTAATTTTTTTTACTATCGTTGGAGTATGGAACAGTAATGTAGCTTATGCACTCGGAGCGCATTAAGATGTACAACCAATACATAGGGCTGCGCATTTAGTTAACTTAAAACAGTTGAGGGGCACATCAAAACGGTAGTGAGCTGATGAGTTCAGTGAGTTTCGAGGTGGTGTGTCATGCCACCACACTCAGAGTCTCAATCCCCCTCAGAGTGGCCTGCAGCTTCTCAACCTGCTCCTCTATTATCACCTCCAACACTCTGTTGGCGACAAAATAATTTTCTACTCTATCTATAATACTTTACCTGGCAGCATGATAGATTAAAGTGGAGAATGACTAAAGAAAAAACATTTGACTTCCCTGTGCCATTATAAATAGAGTCACTCCTATCAAAAAGTAGTAGTTGGTATAATATACCTAATTGACTTTATTGCACTAAACTATTCCTGTTTTGCTATGCAAATCGAGTAATCTACTATGGGAGAGTTTTAAAGCTCTGTCTTACAACATATTAGCTACTAACGCTGAATTCAAACACTACTGATTAGCCTTGGAAGCTGTATGTATGAATGCCTATTGGCAGTGCTTCACTGGAAAAAAAAACGGGTTTTGAGACACCATATAGGTGCAAGGTGTAGCTATATCCAGCTGACTTGGTCTGTTTGATGAGATCCGAGGGTTCTTTGACTTCACACCACGCTTTGTGTTCTCATGTTGTCAATGTATAGACCACAGATGTGGGGCGCCCAAAAAGCAAAGGAGGCCGAAAACCGCAAAAAAGCGCTGAATGGGGCTCGCCTATAAAAAGGAGAATCCCATCATAGTAATACGTAGCTACTCTTCTCCGCCCAGAGACGATTTTTCAACATCTATATACAGCTTTCAACCGCCAAAATGTCGAAATCCGAACTGATCAAAGCATTAAATTGCTAAAGCAGGGCATGGAAGTCTACAAAACTCTGAAAGAGGACATGTCGCGGGCGTTGAGACTAAAACAGTTGCACGCCGAACTAATGTCAAACATCGTCAAGACGTTCAAGGAGATAAACAAACATCTAGATGACAATGAGAAGGCCATTTTGGAGAAGCTCACAGCGGCTCACGATCGAGCCCAAGAAGATAAAGGAACAAAGCAGCGCGTTGGTTCGCGTACTCGACCCGTCTGCAGTCGGGACGGACCAGGAGAAAATGTGGGCTGCCTGCCAGTACTTTTCGGGCTTCGCGAAAGACATGGAAGAGTGAAGGAAGCGGAAGATGCGCTACGTGAAGCAGTCAACATACTGCAAGGAGCGCAAAACGAATTGTTGGATATATACGCTAAAGCGATTCCAGGAGAAAGCCGCCGAGGCAGAGGCGCGAGAGGAAGTACAAGAACGCAGCATTCGGACTGATTCTTGGACCGAGGGTCTCACCATTCCAGACATCGAGAAGAATTTTGAGCAGCAGCGAGACACAATCACAGATTACATAAAAGGCTTTGAGAAAATGTCGGCGGATGCGAAAGAGCTTCAAGAGCAACTGAACGCTAAACGAAAAGCAATTGATCGACATTCATGGCAAGCTAAATACGACAGGGAATATTGCCGGAACTGAAGTGAAGTCAATCGCCGTATTGCACTTCGGCCTCGTTCGCAAGAATGCCCAAGCGCTCGTGGAGGCATGCGAAAAGTTTCTCGCTAACAATTGAATTCTGGGCTACTCCGAATCTACACAGCTGAACTAGCTAGTGTGTATTGAGTAGAATTTAGTTTAGAACTGCTCTGTACCTTTATTTGTCGCTGAATAATAATTTGGGTTAGTGCAATTATCCAATTTTCATGTGATTGTCAATGGATGAGTTCGCCCTTAACAAAACATTCTAGAGTGAACTAGTACTATGCTATACCTACAGCTCGCTAAGGTTAGGCTCTGAGCTAGAATGGAAAACCCCCTTCATTCTTCGCAGGTTATCACTTCTCCTAGGCTCAAAGTTTCGTTCCTGCTCTTGTGAGATGTGAATCATCATCTTCTCCAGCTTCGTGCACTGTTCATTCAGCTGCTGCATTCTTTTCTCCATAGAATAAACTACCTCCACCATCTTGTCCACCTTCTGGGCCACACTGTACTCCTTTGATGAGTTCAGTTTCTACGTCAAGATAATTATAGATCATAAAATCTGTCATTAATACTATTATTTATTGTGCCCAGTGTTGTGGCTAGTGCTATATTATAATAAAAGTTGGGACAGTAAGGTTAATAGTACCCCAACCTTTGCCAGTTATGGGTAAAATTATTTAGCTATTATATAGCTACATACCAATTCTGGTTTCCAGTAGGATCCATTCAACCACTTCCAGAACTTTTCAAATGGCCCTTTCCCCCACGTCTGAGTGTAGCTGCGCTTGTTTCTCCATCTTACAATCACCTTTGGCAGACGACTCAAAACATCCAGAGTGAACCCAATCTGTTATATATTAAAAGTGAAATATTACATTTTCCGATTCTTCTTCTGAATTTGTTACCTGTAGTGCTTCTTTCTTCAGGGCAGCTTTTTCTTGGACCCCCTTGATATCATCAACAGCCAGGCCAACCTGTCGAATATATACAACAACACCACAGATTGTGTTAGAGCACTGGGATCAAAGCAGTAGACACTACTGCTGTTAGGCCTGGAAGTATAATAATATAATGGGAATGAACTACGCAAGCTGTAGTAAGCTCCATGAGTGTGGCTGTGGGGAGTTGGACGCTCTCGGGTGTGTAATGTGTTTTGTGGTTTTGGTTTTTTAAAGGGCTAAGCTCACAAGGAGATTCTGTAGAAGAATGGGCATTATGATGAGGAACACAATCCAGAGAAGATAAGTGATGACGGGATACGTGACTACTGAGGGAGTGCTGAAGAATATTGGATCAGTTTCCAGTTCCCCAGTCGTCATAGAGAGAGTCTTGAGCAGGGAGTAGGGGAATGTGACAAACTGCTGCGGAGGGGTCTATAATATGAGAGGGAAAAAACGGGAGTACAAAGATGGAAAACCTCACAGAATACCATACTTACAGTAGTCTCCACTACACTCAGCAACATAAAGAAAGGCTGTCCAAATGCTAACACCAGAAGAATAGCCATTGGCGCTATTTTCACAAATGTCTTGATGATATCCTGGAACATGACAACGTATATGCCAACCACCGGCTGCTCGCTCAGAAATAAGATGAAGTTTATCCAACTGAGGAATATGCACAGGGCGCCGAGTTGCCACTGCCAACTCGGAAGACATTGCAGCTGAAAGTTGCTCACGAATATAATGGTAGCAATGTACAGTACGCCTTCCATGTAGTTGATGAAGTGGAGGAAGTAGTCTCGACGGTGGTGGATGATCTGAAGTACCTCGATGATGATTCGAGCAATGCAGTTGAGGATAATGATGACTGAGCACGTTATGAGACGAGTTTTATCTTGTCGCAGCTCCCTAACAACATCTGAATAAGTACAAATATGCATGCCAATTAATTGTAGCAATAATAGCCATAGTTAAAAATGAGACACAATAGGGCCCTACCATCATCTGCTCCAGTGAGTGAATCCAGAGTGATATTTTGTGAGCAGTCACTTAGGGAAAGCGATGTGTTAACTTGTTTCTCGTACGTGTCAATCAGAAGCTTCGAATCTGCGAAATTTTAGACAGAAATGAAGTGGTTATGATTCTCTAGCAAGCCCTCACAGTCAAACCGGAGATAGATGTACGCAGTAAGGAGGAGCATCAGCAAAGTGTACAGTGCTACATTTGGGTAGTAGACCCATCTTCCGAAAATGTTCCACTTGTGGTGAATGAAAGAAGCTACCAAAGGATGCTTCAAAAGCTCCTGTCGCTTGTACAGCACCTGATAAACATGAACTTGTGGACGAATATTTTGTAAGACAAAACTATTGTTTTACAGGTAAACTCCGATAATGGACTGTCCAAGATAGGGGCACACTTCTCTACAGAGGACACTTGTTTCAACCTCTTGGTCATACTTTAGTGTATTATTTGACCTCTGAGATAGGGACAACCTCTGTACAAGGGACAAAATCATTTGCCTGATATAGTGTCCCTTGTTAGAGTTTCACTGTGTATATACCATAAGGTGAAGAGGGTGGTTGTGGTAGTGGTATCTCTTGGGACCCCAGGCTCTGTGTGGCTCTCTCGGAGTGGCCGTGGGTTCGTGGTGCTGAAAATGGACCATCATCTCCCCTCTGCTCTCCTCCCTCTTCATTGTCTGTGCTCCTTTGTGAGCCCCTCGGGGTACAATAGGGGGTGTGTCCATCCTCTTCAAAACTACAACATTGTGGAGAAAAGTTATAGTTCTAATATAATTGGCCTAAAGAACAATAGAGGTTTTATGCTGACATAAAGTGGTGTATTCATTACCATAACTTTGTTCCCTTCTCTGGTGTTTCTTCTGCTGAGTCTGTTTCCCCTCGTCATCGCAATCGCTGACTTTTGGTCCTTCGTCACTGAAAATATCCTGAAAATCCTCCACATAGTCGTAGTTGTAGTGGACCTCCTTGTAGTAGCTCCCGCGCTCGTCTGCAATTTGCTCTATCTGGACACAGCGCTCAAAGGCTACCTTTGCTGCACCTGATGACACAAAAATATTTAGCATTGCTCTTATAATGGAGCTGTTGTTACTTGGCATCTTTTTGATCAACTTCCGAAGTGGTGTCTCGGGATTTTTGCGGTCTTCGTAGCTGCAAAATTGAAGAGCCTGGTGCCACTGTTCGCTCTCTAGGATTGTGGTCACAACTTGTCTGAAATGATTTAACCCATTATAAGCCGATATATAATTATTGTGTAAGCTTACGTATGCTTGCCATCAATTGCTGCATTCAGACAACATATGGCTTTTTCTTCCTCGTGGTGGTTGTAGTTGTATGTCACCATGGCTCCCCACTTGATTAAAAAATCCACACACTTTGGCCAGCCTTCAGCACAAGCAAGATACAACGCCGTGTGCTGCACCAATTACAACAAGTTCATAAGTTTAACTTATACTTTTAACTAATTAGTTTGACTTTCTTACTTCCACGGTTCATAGGTTTGACTTACATGGTCATCATCAATAATTTCACACGTTTCTTTCAAGGGACTATGCCGGAGTAGGAGCTCGAGGGTCTCCAAATGACCGTTCTTTGCGGCTAGATGAATCGGAGTCCAGCCACGATTATCACTATAAGGAATTACTGTTGTAATATTCTACTACCCACAACCAGGCGAAAAGGTTTACTGACCGTGTGCTGATGGCATTGTCAGATGACCGAACTCTTAGAAGCCGATCTACAATGTTGCTGTGTCCATATTCAGCTGCCAAGTGGAGTCCAGAGCTTCCGTGACCATCCAGTATGTAGACAGCATTGACACCACTGCTCATTATGAAGTTCATTATCCTACAGGTAGACGATTTCTATGACAGAGTTGGCTAACTATAGCTGTGTAGGACTTACGGAAGTTTTCCTTCACGGACTGCAATATGAAAAGGAGTAAATCCCTCTCTGTTTCTTTCTTCAAGGCACGAAGTATTGTACCGCATAAGGGTCTAGTATATAAACAGGTAAAGGGTGTAGAGGAAGTGATAATTCTCAAACTGATGCTTACCTTGAGCAGGTCCAAGTTCCTGGCTTTAGCTGCAATGTGGTGAGGGGTATTCTTATCCTGATCTGTAGCCTTCCAGATGCTCCGCAGGAGATCCTTATTGTCTGCTACATATAAAAGCAGCATCTGGAAAAGAAACAATAGCTCTGTATATTAAAACCACAGTGAAGCATACAATGATAAATTAGCTACTAGAAAGTGATACCTTTAAGATTACCTTTAAGATATCGGGATTTTGAATCTCAACTGCCCATAGAATTGCATTGTAGTGTCTCAGTCTGTCCTTCGCCAACACATTAGCCCCCTTCTTAAGCAGCAGCTGAACCGTTTGAGGCTGAGCATAGCGTATGGCAGCCAGCAGTGGGGTGAATTGCATGTTTGTCTTGGAATCTTTGCTGGCCCCACTGACAAACACCAAAAGCATCCTTAACCAAGTATACAAGAATAATACATGATCTTACTTTTCTAAAAGTAGCTCCATGACTTTTGCATTTCCAAACTTGGCACACATGTAGAGTGGGGTGGCTCGGACACTGTTTGGTAAGTCGATGAAAGACCTCAAAACTTCACCCCCTTCCTTCTTTGCCTGCTTTAGAACCTGAACTGCCACGTCATAATCCCCTCTCCTTGCCGCAGTATGCATACAGTTCATTCGAGTGGCGTTGCACAACCTAACGCTGAAACCGAACTCGAAACACCACTCAACGAGTAGACCATCTGCAGCATCTACAGCCAAATGTAGTAAAGTGTTCCCTTCAGAATCCTGGTAAGTAATAATTATGTTAGGTGTTTTATTGTTTTGGACAACAAAACCGGCTTACTTTTGCCTCCAAAAACACTCTATTTCCGGCATACGTTTCCTTGAATGTTTGACATTGAGAGAGAGCGGTAAATATAGCAGTGTGCTGGTTAGCAGCAGCTATGTGAAGTGGGGAATCTCCTTCGTGGTTTAGGCAGCAGAAATTGGCATTCTGTAGAGCAATCACAATGTTGCAGAACCCTCGGTAGCATGCATGGTGAAGAGGTGTCCAGTCATCGGAGTCTTTAACATCTAATTCAACTTTGGGATGACGTAAGAGAGCCAGAACTAGTCTATCGTTCTCATTGTCTCCCCGTACTGCAAGATGGAGTGCAGTAAACTCCTTTTCCTTGCTTTTTTCATTGATACACTCTGAGTCTGCAAAAGTGTTAATGTAGTACGTGAAAATGAATAAGTAAAATGCAGCATTGCTCGGTGAGAGAGTTCAGCATAAAAACATATTTATAGCCATTTTTATAGTGCCTAGCTCCATGGGTCGGCCAATAAATAACTGAATAAGGTTATGTTTCAATGAAAATATTCAGGATTTCCTATGTAAAGTGACACAGAAATGCTTGCACATGAATTTTGCATCAACTTCTAATTGACACAATGAGATAGGCTACCCTTTAATTGCATAAAACACACACTATTGCCTTATCGTCGCAGAAACTTTTCAGCAGATGCAACTAACACAAGCACGGTTTACCTAAAAACTCCACCAGTTTCTCCATGATTGAATCTGACTGATGATAGGCTGCATAGTGAAACACGTTCCATCCCCTCTCGTCTTTGTAGCTGCCCAATTCAGCTTTGATCAGGTACTGGTCATGCTCGCTAGCACACACCAAATGATCCAACTTTGTCAAGAGAAGCTCGTAATTATTGGTTACAACGGCCTAAGGAATGAAACGCAGTCCTTTCTCTTAGGACTAGTTAGCTACATTCGTATATACCTCAATGATCTCTGCACTACGGTCGTCTAGGTGAGGCTGATTGGTACGCCTTCGTAGTTTATTCTGGAAAACGTGTGCCTCTTCAAAGACGGGATTCTTCACCCCGTACTGTCCGTACTGGTTGCGACCGCGTACGTTGTTGAGGTCCGCAAATACGCTCCTTCCTTGCCCCATGGTCTAGAGTAGCTCCCAGTTAGAGCGCCACTCAGCTACGCCCACTTTTTTTGCTACCCGCTTACTATTCATGACGTGGGGGTTGCGCTGCCAGAATGCGCAACGGGACAACATCCCATCCCTTCACCGCGCGTTGGCTCTAGATATCTACATTACGTAAAAGAATAAAAATTT